TGGGATGTTTTCTCAATATTCAATTGCTCTTGTATATAAAGCTATTTCTTATATACATATGAGTGTCTCTGGATTTGATTCACTAGTCTACCCAGGCTAACACAAAGTATCTGAGGCCATCCAGGTGAAGATGCTATTCAATGTTTGAACTTCCACATATGAAAGCAGGATCTATGTCTGACACAGAAATGCATGTGATATACGGATGTTACTTAAAACCAAGAGAGTTGAGTAGACAGTCCAGGAAGATTAAGTTAAGGAATGAAAACAGAACACTCTGGAATTTCAAAATAATACCAGCACTCACACTGAGAAGGGAGGGTTGAGTGGGTCTCTGAATGGTGCTCAGATGGTATCAGCCCAGTCCAGACACAGCAGTTGCAATCCTCCCTGCTCCAAGACGTCTCCATTCTGTTCAAAGGCTCTTGAGATTCACCAATGACTTGATCTCCTACTTGGCTGAGATCAAGCCTTCTAAGTTCAAAGTACCTAATGGGCTGTGTGAGTCATTCTTGGGGAGTTCTGAGAGAGAAGTCAGCGTATGGGTGCAGTCTGCGTGAAGAGCAGGATGGTGGTACCATTATCCCAAGCTCAGGGTAGACAAGCTAAATTCCAAATCACAGCTAAAACTACAGTAACTGGCCAGCATTTTACTTTAACTCATTGTATTGCCTAACAATGAAGTGATACATGCGTACTTTTTTCTTCTTCTACTCTTTTTCTACAAAACTCCAAACTTACTGCTATGGAGTCCACTCTGACTGACAATGACCCTACAGCCTTAAAAGGGCAGATAATCATTCAGATGAGGGAGATCGTCAGTCTGTGGCCCAACTGGAGTCAACTGCTTCACGACCACAGGGCTCTTTATAGATGATGGAAAACAAAGGAGATTATTACAAAACCATGATTGCTGGCAGGTCCATTGATGACCTTCACTTGTGAGGAGAGGGTCATACTACATGGTGGTTAGGGAACATGAATGTTTTTTTTCATTAAAAGATCACTTTATTGGGGGCTCTTACAGCTCTTACAACAATCCATACATCAATTGCATCAAGCATATTTGTACATATGTTGCCATCATTATTTTCTAAACATTTACTTTCTATTTAAGCCCTTGGTATCAGCTCATTTTCCTCCCTCCCCACTCTCCCTCCCTTAGGTACCTTTGATAATTTATAATTTAAAATATTGTTTTCATATCTTATACCAACTGCTGTCTCTCTTTGCCCAAGGTTTCTGATGTTCATCCCCCCTGGGGGGGGGTCGTTCCATATCGATCATTGCGATCGGTTCCTCTTTCCTTCCCTCCCCTTCCCACCTTCCACCCTACCCTCCCGATATTGCTACTCCCATTCCTGTTCCTGGATTTCATGTGTTGTGAGCTCTTATCTCATCTGTATCTGTGTACATGGTCCAGTCTAGCCCAAAGTGAAAGCCAGGACTGGGGTCATGATAGTGGAGGGTGAGGAAGGCTCGAGGAACAAGAGGAATATCGTGTGTTTCATTGGTGCTATACTGTGCCCTGGTGGACTCATCATCCCTTCCTTGTGACTCTTCTGTGAGGGTATGTCCCATCGTCTACAAATGAGTTTCAGGTCTCTGCTCCGAGTCCCCTTGTTCTCAACAATATGAGGGGTTTTTTTGTTTGTTTGGGGTCTTCTGATGCCTGCTACCTGATCCTGTCAACACCTCATGATTGCACAGGCTAGTATGTTTCTTCCATGTGGGCTTGTTGCTTTTCTGCTAGATGGCCACTTGTTTTAACTTCAAGCCTTTAAGACCCCAGACACTATATCTTTTGGTAGCCGGGCACCATCAGCTTTCTTCACCACATTTGCTTGTGCACCCATTTTGTCTTCAGCAATTGTGCCATGAATATTTCTTAAAGGCAAATATCAAGGAAACATTCTGTGGCAAAGATTTTAGATATAAGAAATTAAACATCAGATCTGGCAGCAAAAAACTAACACAGAAGCCAAAGTATGTATAGGGTATCTTAATGGACCAAGGAGGCCACTTATTAAAGGAGAGACTCAGTCATGAGGCTCAAGACGGTACTGACCCAACTCCACACAGGGAAGGTTAGAAACAACACCATTAGGAACTGACTTCTTCCAGGGGAACATGTTACATAAAGCATAGATAATCATCTGAACACACCAAGGTCAACAGTTGTAAAACCTGCAGACCCAGGTGGTGGTATAGAAGCAGGCGGTTCTTGTTTTTACCTCTTTGACTGAGAATCCCTTCAGGCCTAAATATTTCTGGTGTCTCAAAAGCAAAAATGCAATCACTTTCATGGACTGTTTCCAGGTCGTCTGTATCACAAAAGGACCGATGAAATCCATCGTAGTACATTTCTGTTAACACAATCTAAAAGCAGGAAAACACAATGGTAACTGGACGTCAATAAGATTTGTTCTCCTACTTCTACTTTGAAATACTGCCCTCCGCTGGGATGTGCAAGGATTTGTGAGGGCTTTCTAACATCTCACATAACTCACTAATGAGAGAATTTTGGAAGTTCCTCTACATTGTGGTCTAGCTGACACCCAGGAGATTGTAAAGTCTAACCCTCTTGTTTCACAGAAAAAGAGAGGGTGGCTAATTTACCAAAGTTTGTACAACTTCAATTTCAGAATAAGCACTGAACCCACACCTGATTCCCAGAGAGTTTCTCCCACATCCCTAAATTTTCTTCTTTCAAGCTAAAAACATCAAATAACCATGGATATTTGTACTGGGAAAAAAGATTAACACACATGTCCATCAACAAATGTATTATAGTAAAACTGGGATTATAAAACTATTTAACCCTATTGTGGCCCATGGGACATATACTGCCCAGTTTCTTCCAAAACCCAACCCATTTCCATCAAATCCATTCTGACTCACAGCAACTCCGCCTAGGGTTTCCAAGGCTGTAAATCCGTATGGAAGCAGATAGCCTCATCTTTCTTCCGTGCAGCAATTGGTGGGTTGCAACCACCCACCTTGTGGTTAGCAGTTCAATACTTACTCAACAGCACCACCAGAGACTCTTCCCAGATTTCTTGGTAAATTACTATCCCAGCTGTAGCATATGCTGCCACCTGGTGAGAACTTCTATAAATAAATACTAGTTCTTGAATCTCAAGAACTAGGCCCCATCAATCCTACCACCCAAGTCCATATATAAGCCATACCTGTCCCACATCAAACTCCTCAGAAAACTTTTCCTCTTAATTTCTGCATGTCTTGCATTTCAGAAGAGAAAGATGAGGTTGTCTACTCCAAAAAGATTTAGAGTCTTGAAAACCCTGGGCAGTTCTATTTTACAGGGTAACTATGAGTTGGAATCCACTTGATGGCAGCGGACTTTTTTCCCCCCACCTTGGTGGGAGGGGTGGGGCGGGTGCAGAGTGTCCATGACTGAAAACACATGGGATAAACAAAAAACTCAAAGCAAAAATAACTATCATGAAAGAGTTACAATGATGAGCTACAATGTTTCCACTAAATGAAAAGGTCTTTTAAGTAAATTCAAAAGCTAAGCACAGAACAAGATGTATAAAATTACTCCGTTTTAATAGGATAATATAGCATATGCACAGGAAAAATATGAATGAATAACCAGAATAATAACAGGTAATAGACTTTAGGGCTAAGAAAGATACTTATACTTTTCAAGCTAGTTTTGAAATGGTTGAGTATTTTACAATGCAACTAACATAAAAGGAGGTGGAGGAGGGGAACAATGAAGACATTAGAGATACTGCCTACTGAAAAAAAGCACAGGGCTCTATCCCCAGCCTGCCACCAACCAGCCCCGTGACTTTAAGTCACATGGTTGCTGGGGCCTCCTGCAAATGAAGGGGTTACACACACACACCCCTCTACTAGCACTGGGGCTTTGTAAGACTATACTGAAAAAAGGAGGATGATGGCTTATGTCACAAATAGTCCAGGAACAATATTTTTGGCATATCTTTCTTTCCAATGTTATTATCATGTTGTTTTTCTAGTGAAAATGCGAGCACAATTCAATTTCTCCAGTAAGCTGAGGTCAAAACAAAGCTGTAATTATTTCACCAATTTAAAGAGCCCCACAGTTCTGGAAGCCTTAAAGGTACAACCAGATTTGCCTTGGACAGACCTCGAAGGCACCCTCGCCCTCCTTCCGTCTTTCCCCTCATCCTCAAGGAAAACCATCAGTGGGCCCTTTGGACTAAGGAAGAAGATGGGCATCTTTTCCATGTGCCAGCTATTTGTCCTGTGAGATATGTGCCGTATTAGGGCAAAACTGCTGGTTAAATTTGTTTTACTGTGGTAACTTCCCAAGTGAGGCCACATGAGGGCAAAGTACCTCTGACTCAAGGGATTTCAGGGCAACTTCCAGAGCTATCTACGGAAAAGCTATTCAGTCATTGAATCGCATTTTCAAGGAAAAACATAAAATGGGGTACTTTCCAAATAAAATCATAGCAATGAAGCAAATAAAGACTGTATGCAAAAATATATCGTGACCAACAGGCCAAAAGTATTTTGGTTGGTAGCGTTTTATGAAAGGAAGCCCCTGGGTGGCACAAAAATGTAAACACTCAACTTCTAGCCAGAAGGCAGGCAGTTCAAATGCACTCCAAGGAGCCTCCAAGACAGACCCAGCAGTCAGCTCCCTGAGAATCACGTCGTGAAACTCTGACAGGCAGTCCTACTCTGCAGACAGGGAGTTGCTGAGAGTCCGAATCAGCTCAGGGCAATTAACAACTTGAAAGACTGACCAAAAAACAAATAGAAACTTTCCTTTCCCTTTCTGTCCTTCTCCTCATCCTGAGGGAAAAGGAAAAGAATGAGCTCTTTGGAGTAAAGAAGAACTACTGTAACTATACAAGATCAGAGACTGGTCAAGCTTAACCAGAAAGCAAAACACACGGACCATCTACTACGGAAAGACTACCGCTAGCCAGAAGAGCTAGTGGGAAGGGTATTCTCGCCATAGTGGGAAGAGGATTTAGAAAATGACATCTGGGTTTTTGAAACATCTTTGCTCATCAAATACCACAGACATGCTTGTTCTAGTGCCCACATAAGCATCTATAGGAATGACTAAGAAGAATTAAATACAATGAGTCCTTTTTTCTTTGGTGTTCCTTATTAGTAGCATGTACACCATTCTCTGATGTTCACTGGAAGAATATTTTATATGACTTACTACTCAAAACACTGCCACATAGCAGGCAATAATAAAAACTAAAAAAAAAAAAAAAAGGATCTGACTTCTGTCAGAACTGACTTAGGGTGGAGTCACAGAGCCAGAATCCATCCTAAGCTGTGAGGGCCTGTAATTGTACTTTACAAGCAAAGCTACAAGAAGGCCTTTTCCTTTCTTAAAAAAGAAAAAATATATATATATATATATACACACATATAAAAACAACTGAAAGAAGCATGAAGAGTTTTTAGGAACATTTTTCTCTTTGAGTTCTTCTCTCTTCAACAGTAGAAGCAACTCGTCTTCAATTTCCATCTAACCACGTTTGGCAGAGAGATGTTGAGACTTCCCCAGAACCGCACGCCACACTGTGGAGGCTCACGGAGAAGCAGCCTTACCTGATCAGCTGGGATCTTGGTTTCCATAGACACTGCTTCCCGAAGCCTGGCGACAGTCCCCGACAGAGGCACGGCCACTCCGACCCTCATGCAGTGCGAGCACTTCCCTTGGTACACTACGGTGACATAGAGAGGCCTAGACAGATCACAGTCAGATCTGCCCGTTAATCACTTGGTTCAACTACAAGACGAAAGCAGCCAAACAAGCCTGCTCAGAAGGTCACCTGAAACGGAGGCTACCCCAGACTTTTCTTTGACACGAAACCCCCCAAGTAAAGTCATCAGGCAAGAATTAAAAGATCCTTGGGAAAAGGAGTATTTATAGAACAAAATTATAACATCTCAAAACTTAGTTCCGTGCTTTGTATGTTCACTAACTCGACATAACTCCAGGATATTCTGAGAAATAGTTCAAGATAAAATGAGAACAGGAGGAAATGGGAAGTGAATGCTTAAGGGGCAGCTGTAGCTTCAGTTAAGGGTGGAGAAACAAACGGGTGCTCACGGTTCCACAACACGCTGCATGTAATTAATGTCACTAGGTGTACACATAAAAATGGGCGAAACAGCCATTGAATATAGATTTTTACCACAAATTTTTCTTCGGGTTTTTCTAGGGACTCTGGAAGGCAGTCCAGAGCAGTCCGGCCCCATCCTGCCCGTGGATGATGAGCTGAATGACAGACTGCAGCACAGTCTTGCCTACCTGCTCACTCTACATACTCAAGCATTTACTTCTGCGGTTTTAACAACGCAATACACCATTTATTGCTAATCAGTATGAGGGCCTTAATAGACATCTTCAGAGGAAAAGGAATGTTACAGGAATAACACAGTCGAGTTTACTCTTCTTACCTGGTGTGGGGTAGAGGAATTGGCAAAGAAATGCAGAGAAAGGGGTCAAAAGTGTTGCTCTGTTTCTGACAATGAGGACATGTCAAAGAAGATCTTCAAAGACAAAAATTGAAAACATGTAAATTAAAATCACCTAGCCACAGGCCAAACAGACCGATTCAGAGGGAAATGTTTGTTCATACCTGTACTGGGCTTGAAAAAGTTCTTGTACAAAAGTACTGCAGATAGGAAAGGATGGTCCCTCAGGCATTATATCAGTCTCTGACGGCGGCTAAAAAGGAGGAAACACAAGTTTATAGATTAAAGTGCCCATTCTTCCCGAAGGAATGGTATCTGAGTTTAAATTATGAGCAACCAGTTTTCGGAAGGCTAAGGATGACAGTGGGAGCCCAAACTCCATTTGTAGGGTCCACACATGGAGTAAACCTCCAGTGAGCTCCCTCTGACCACAAAGCAGGGGTGTGAAGAGCTTTGCTACCATGTACAGTGCAGTGGTTTTTGTTTTGTTTATCTGTATTTTGTTTTCTGTTTTTCTGAATAAGAAACCCAGAACGCAAGAACACTATTCTAACAAACTGGCATTCTGTGATGCTCACCTGCTCAGCACAATCGCTGAAGACAAAACGGGTGCGAAAGCAAATGTGGTGAAGAAAGCTGATGGTGCCTGGCTATTAAAAGATATAGTGTCTGGTGTCTTAAAGACTTGAAGTTAAACAAGCGGCCATCTAACAGAGAAGCAACAAGCCCACATGTAAAAAGCACAGCAGCCTGTGGAATCATGAGGTGTCATCGGGACTACGTAACAGGCATCAGAAGACCCATAACAAACAAACAAAAACATATTGTTCAGAATGGGGGGGGGGGTGTCAGAGCAGAGACCCAAAGCCCATCTGTAGACAATGGGAAGAGGGGTCACAGGGAAGGGATAAGTCAACCAGGGCCATAGTAAACCACGGATAAAACACACAATATCCCTCTGGTTCCTTGAGGCTTCCTCACCTCCACTGACACCAGTGCTGCCTCTCACTTCAAACTAGACTGAAGCATGTACACAGGTATAGATAAGAGATAAGAGCTCACGACACAAGGAATCCAGAACAGAAATGGGAATAGCGATACCAAAAGGTTAAGGGGAA